CTGCCCGCCGGTTCCCGCGACGCCGCCTCCGCGTCGGGAGAGGAAGACGGGGTGGGAGGTGGGCGGCAAGTTCTCCGCACCGGGTCGCAGGGCGCCCCGGCTTGCGTCCCCCTCCGCGGGGGCGAGCTCCACGGTCACCGGGTCCCCTCGCCCGCCCGGTCCCCGAGACCGTGTTGTGTTTTCCCTGTGGCTTCTTTGTGCTAACGTTTTCGAGCGGACGCCGGCAGCGGCGCTGGGTAAGGCTGGGGTGTCCCTCTCGGGGCCCCCCGCCCCGGCCTCGCGGGCCGGCCAGGGTCCGAGGCCTGGCCGCCGCGCTGTGTGCCAAGCGCTCGGAACCAACTCCGGGAGCCCGCGCGCGCTTCTCTGGAAGGGTCATTCGGTGGCGATGACCTTTTGACTTTTTCACCCCACCCCACCCCACCGGCTCTTTGTCTTGTTCTTGGGCTTCCTTGATCCAGAAAATGGTAGAACCAAGTCCCATTTTAAAGTACTGTCAGGCACACTTTTGGCTGTTACCTTTTCTGAAAGTTACCCCCAATGGGATCATGAATTTAGTAACCCGTTGGCTGAGTACATGGCATCCGTGTCCATTGGTTATTTACTGACTTTTACTCCCGAAACCCAGTGATCTTCCCAGTAAATTGTGGTCTGTCAAGCCCATTGTAAATCAGGACAGCTGTTTGTTTCATTCATTCATTCATTCAGCAGAGGCAGCAACTTACTACTGTATCCAGATGGAGAGGTTTAAAGGAAAAGAAGTATCCTTAAATGGTGGAAGATACATTGACGTGTAATAGCTGTACCTTTGAACGAGATACTTACCTAGAGATGTATGTTACAACTGGTAGTTTATTCTCTGGGTCATTTAACCATTTGTTTTTAAAATTAGTAATGTATCTGAAACTCCAAAAGCAATACTAGGAAATCAAATTAGAAGGCCTCTAAATAACTACCTTTATTCTTGAATTTGACATTTTTTCCAGATTTACAGGCATTTATAATGGTTACTCCAGATTGCCCTGCTATGGTTAACCTTACACTTAAGAGATCAGGTGCTGTAAGGGAACATATTTAGTGCTGTGCCTGACAAAAGTAATCACATTGGGATTTCCTTGAGGGCAGGCTTGTCTTAATATCTATTTCTTAACCACCTAGCCTGAAATATATTAAGTGCTCAGTAAACTGTCACACGATTAACAGCTTTTCATAATTAGTTCTATTAAAATCCAAGGCTTCAAAAGGAACCTTCTAAAGTTCTCCATGAAGTTTCATGGTCACATCCAGATGGTTAACTGATCAGTTCAGATGGTACATTATCTGTAAAGATATTACAGGCCTTAGAATTATTTCAGCATGAATCTTTTCCTTATATTTCAAAGCCATTATCCTAAAATCTTATCTAAATGTTTTTTAATATGATAAAGTCATGTAGATTGGGAAGGTGTATATGTATATGTACATATAGGTTGAGCATCTTAATCTAAACATCAGAAATGCTCTGAAATTTGAAACATTTCTTGTCCAAGTTTTATTTCTCAAATTGTATATACATACACACCCAGACATAGTAGGAGTCCAAAATACTTACATTTCCCTTTTTATTTTGGCTACTACTTTGCATAGAAAAAACAGATAAAAGAAATAACCTGTCTATATGTATTATTATAAATATTTGAATATAACAATATTTTAGAAATTGTTAATGCTTTAGAAAAGCTTATTATAAATGTTAATTCTAAGTTTTAACTTGTTTTAACTTATGTGCATACAATTGGCAAACCATTTGGGTATAAAACTCAAGATTAACTTAGTTACAGCACAATACCACTAAAAGTATTTGGCATTTGTTTTGGATATGAAAGAATTGAGGGTGAGCTTATTTGATGTGAAGTAAAAATAAATAAGAGAATAGTAACATAAGAGACGAAATCTGGAGTCACCAAACTTTTTTGCTTGATTGCTTTACCTAATTACAGCATGCTAGATTGTAGTAAGGCTATTGATAAAAAATTCTTTGGGATATCTTATGTCATGCTGTGTACAGAACTTGCTATGTGGTTTTATTTTGTAAGTTTTGTAAAAAGACTATTGAGATTTAATTTACATATAAAACTCACCCTTACCATTAATGTACCTTTGAGTTGTCTTTAGTGTATGCCCAAAGTTGGGCATCGATCACCACTAAATGACTGCAGAACATTGTTATCGCCCCAAGAAGAAACTCCATACTCATTTCTGGTGATTTCACATTGCATTCCAAACTGTGTTTTAAAGAGAGTGAGAACATGGGTTCTCTATAAAACATTCCTGTAATGAGTTAAAAGAGCACCTTTAATTGTCCTGCCAGAATCGGAAGCTGTATCCTTCATACTCACTTGGATTCTTAAGGATCCTTAAGGAATTCTGTCTTGGAAAGAAAGGATAAGAGTAAATTGTACCAGAATTAATAGGCAGAATCTTAACTATTTGCTTCTGCATAGTATTATGGAAATGACCTTAAGTACATACTAGATGTTCAGTGAAACAACTTCAAGTAATTTGTTACTAAAGACGAGTCATAAACCATCCTAATGGTAATTAAGAGGTTGAATAGGATCTGCTTCTACTGTGTTTTGCTTTGACAGTAGTTTGAATTTTGACATAGTTGAGTCATCTGCATGGTTGAGATGTTTTGTTGCATGTGGAGAGATATGATGTGTGACATTAAGATGTCACCTCTCTGGAGTTTTCTGGTCAAGTCAAGGGCTACTTGCCGTTCTGATTCATGTGGTGTACAGAAGTCATCATAACCATGTGGCTTCGCAGATGAATCACCTGTGGGTTGTGATGCTTATTGTCTTAGTCACGAGCTTTTTACCTGAATATTTAATAGCTTTGCATTCTTAAGCTAATGTAAGTTGTCAGAACTTCGATTTCAGAAATGTGTTCTAATTCAAGCAAATCTATTCTTAGAATTCAGGAGTTTTGAAATATCATTCTCTAGGAATTAGATCTTGGTTCATTCTGTACTTCCCCATCAACAGTCTTGGGCGCTTTGGGCAAGCAGCTAATCCTTTTTGGCTTTAGAACTGTCAACTGAGGCTGTCAAACAATAGAAAATAGGACTCCATGGGTGAGTATGGGAAGTCCTAGTCAAGAACAATCAAAATTAGACTCCTGTAATTTCCAGAAACAAAACAAATTGTCAACTTTCTTTGCTCTAGCATGCAGACTTAAAAAGGCTTTACCATAAGTTAAAGATTCTTTGACTAAAAACAAACAAACAAACAAACAAAAAGATTCTTTGACTAGTAGATGATACTCTTTTTCGAAAATGAATATGTTAGCTCAAGCTTATGGTCAAGGGTGGAACTTAGGGCTACGCAATGATTTTAATGCTCTTTTTAAACATGGTAGGTCTCTCCTACCAAAAAAGCACACTGTAAATCTCTTAAGTTGCTATATTTAATTGAAATCTATTTGGAAAACCTAATAGTTGCTATTCTTTCACATTTATGGTGGACTATACTCAAACCTTGCTGATATATCTGTCTTTTGTTTCCCTTTAATAGTATATGAGATTTTGTCAAAATCTGCCAATTTTTGGAAACCTAGATTTGAGAGATAGCCAGTGTGACTCCTCGGGTCAATCCTGAATTCTCATTCATGATACAAGTCCAGGTGCTTTTGAGGGAAAATTTGTATCAGGTTATAACATATTTGGGCCTGTTTTCTTTTCTGCTGAGAGTGGTAATAGTACATAACTTCATAAGCATTAAATAATGTGACCTGGGACTGGTATGGTTCTTGGGTGGTAGATACAAGCATTCAGGAAAATTCAATGGTTGCTTTTATGTAGTATTTTTAACTGAACAAGTGCAAAATACTGAGCAAATCTAAAATCACTGTGATGTGTAATATACATGTGAATTCTCCAGGACATGCCATTTGTTTCCCTTGGCATCTCTTACAGGGTTATTAAAATTTAGTAATCTTATGTAATCTGAGATTGTTAGCATTTTGACTGGTAATCCTCTCTCCTTTAAAAATTTGCATAGTTCACCAAATATTGAAAGGAAAGAATTTGCCACATTCCCTGATACAACATTCTTTCACTGTTTCCCAGACAGAATTGCCCAAAATTTTCTAGGCTTAATTTGTCAAAGCTAAAGGAATAGAAATCTAGGAACAGGAAAAGTTTACAAAAAGACATTTGAAGAAAATGAGATGCTGTCACAACCTTCAAAGTTTTATCTTACTGGGGTCTTCATAAAGACTGTAGATTTGTTAGAGGCCTAAGGAGTCATGGCATTAAGCATACTCTGTGTGGTTTCTGTGGGTATAAGAGTACAGAGTTTTTGGTTTCTCTTTGAGTTATCACTTTTCCAGACTGTATTTATGGAGAACTCGCTATGTAGTTACCACTCCCGGTGGTGAGTAGTGGGAGCCTGATGTCTACACCAAAGTTAGACTCTTATCTTCAGTTGTCTGAGTGTAACTTGACCAGAGATAAGGACAGGAGCATATGTGTCTTTGTTCTAACACAGAGAAGTAAATATTGTTAGCCATTATCAGGCACTTGGGGACTTGCAAATCTTAACATGTCTTGTCCTGCCTTTCAAAATAATGCTTAGAAATTACAGACACTAAGATGTCTTTTCTGACTTCTGATTATAGTTGAGACTGTGGTATAGATTAAAATCCAAATCATAAAAAGGCAAACATTAAAGTCACCTCAAGTAACATTCTGAAATACAACAGAATATTGA